TCCAAAGATTCAGTCTGAGTGACCATAACATATAGTAGCAGAATTAGACCATTTGGCCCATTGAGTCTGCTCCACCATTCATTCCTGACTTAAATGTTTCTCAAACCTATTTTTCTACCTTCTCCCTCTAATCCTCGTTTCCTTTACCAATCAAGTAACTATCCATGTCTGTCTTAAAGACACTCAATGACTTGACCTCCATAACCCTCTGCAGCAATGAATTTCACAGATTCATCACCCTCTGGCTGAAGAAATTCCTCCTCATCTCAGTTCTAAATCGTTTGTCCCTTCACTCTGAAGCTGTGCTCTCAGGTCTTAATCTCTCCTACTGATGGTAACATCTTACCAGCGTCCACTCTGTCCAGGCCTCTCAGGATCCGACAAGTTCCATTCAGTGAACATGAGTACAGCTACCTGGGCGAGAGTGGGGGAGATGTCTAATTGTGTTCAGTTGTGTCCAGAGGCAACCGCGAGCACTCGGGAGCTGACGTGATCTGCAATGATGGCTCAACGATCTACGCTCCATTCACTGGGAGGCTGATAGGACGGGCCAATCCTTATGGCAACGGCAATGAGATTGACAATGGAGTGTTGTTGCAGGGATCAGGTGAGACACAGACGGAGATGAGGAGTGGGAGAGGACTGTGTCTCACAAAGTGCCCTCCCCATTTCTGTTCCTTTTTAAATCTGCCGTCCCTTACTCCAAAACTGAGACCTCCCGAACTAGATTTCCCCACATGAGGAAACATCCTCTCTACGTCTTTTTGTCAATCCCCTTTAGCGTCTAACATGCCTCAATGAGATCTCCTCTTATTCTTCCAAACTCCAGACAGTTTAGACGTAAACTATGCACTCTCTCTCCATCAGACAAAGCCCTCATCTCTGCAATTAAACCAGTGAACCTTCTCTTAATAGCTCAAAAGCAATTACAGTCTTGATACACTCTGACCTCAGCCTTATTATGAGCTTTCTGTTTACCATTTTTATTTCTTTCATCAATTGTAGACACAACGCAATTCTATGACATTCCTACATTCAGCTCATAAATAGTTTGCATTGTCAAATTTATTCACTGAGCGTATTTTAAAGCAAAACTTCAGCTTGACCAGAGATTCTCTGACAGTCCAGTCCATTACTGCTGAGATACAGCAGGCACTCTAAACACACACACACACACACGCATACACACACACTGACACACACACACTCCCACTCACACACACACACAAACACACACTCACACTCAAACACAATCACGCACACACATACACACACACCCACACACACACCCAAACACACACAAACACACACACACACATTCACACTCACATAGTTTCCTGACCTTTCGCAATAAACTTTGACTCCCTGATTGATCACGTATCTATCTATCTCATCCTTAAATATACACAAAGACTCTGCCCCCACACTCTCTGGTACGAAGAATTCCAAAGAAGAAATTCCTCCTCATCCGAGTTTAAAATTGGCACCCTTTTATTCGGAGCCTGTGCCCTTTGGTACTGGACTATCCCATGAGTGGAAACATCCTAGAAGACCATAAGCTACAGGAGCAAAATAAGGACATTCGGCCCATCGAGTCTGCTCCACCACTCGATCATTGGGTTCTTAACTCTGATTTCCTGCCTTCTCCCTGTAACCCTTGATCCCACTCAGTAGTCAAAAGCCTGTCTACCTCTGTCTTAAAAACACTCAATGACTTGGCCTCCACAGCCTTTTGCAGCAATGAGTTCCACAGATTCACCACCCATTGGCTGAAGAAATTCCTCCTCATCTCAGTTCTTAACGGTCGTCCCTTCATTCTGAGGCTGTGCCCTTGGGTCCTAGTCTCTCCTACTGGTGGAACTATCTTCTCCACGTCCCCTCTATCCAAGCCTCTCAGTATTCAGATGATTTGGAGAGCGTACAGAAAAGGTTTATCAGGATGTTGCCTCGTATGAGGCATTTTAGCTGTGAAGAAAGATTAGACAGAAAGGGTTTGTTTTCACTGGAATGCAGGAGGTTGAATAGTGACCTGATGGAAGTTTATAAGACTGTGAATGCAGTGGATAAAATGGAAATTATGAGGCTCTTGCCAGGGGTGGAGGGGTCAATTATTAGGGGACACAGGTTCCAGGTGTGAGAGGGTGGAGTTTGAAAGGGATGTGTGAGGCATGTGTTTCACACAAAGGGTGGTGTGTGCCTGGAATGCGCTGCCAGAGGAGCTGGTGGAAGCAGACACAATAGCAACATTTAAGAAGCACCTGGACGAATACATGAATTGGAAGGGAATATGCATACAGGTTCTTTAAGTGAAGTCAGTTTTGGTATGGAAGGGCAAAATGTGACGGCGCAGGCTCGGAGGGCCGAAAGGCCTGTTCCTGTGCTGCAGTGTTCTTCTTTGTTCTATTCTGTCGGTTTCAGTAGATTCCCCTTCATCCTTTTCAACTCCACTGAACACACACCCAGAGTCCTCCATCGCTCCTCATACGACAAGTGTTTAATTCCCGGGATCATTCTTGTGAACCACTTCTGGAACCTCTCCAAGGCCAGAACACCCTTCCTTAGATAAAGGCCCCAAATCTGCTCATGATACTCCAAATTCAATTCTCTCAGCATTCTCTGAGACTTTGTCAAGGCCCATAAGAATCCTCTTGGGTAATATCTGCACATCTCTTTGACTCCAGGTTACTGTGTGAAGATTTTCTATGTCGCGCCTGATCGTTATTCGGGACCAATCTCAAAGGGCCAGGCGTTAGGGACGTTGCTGAATCTTCAAGATGTTTACCCAGGGATAATCTCCCATGTCCACATCCAGATGTGTGACAAGTCTGATCCCACGCCTTACCTGCTCTAGACGAGAAAGAGTGCCTGGAAAATTCCATAATTCCGATCTAATTCCAACTACTCATTGAGGCTGAACAATCGATGGTGGAGTTCGGGAAGAGGGGAATGGGCATTGTGTGGGGGAAATGGGGTTGGGGAGGTGGTACTGAATCACGAATAGATTTCCAGAATGCACCATGTGGGAGGGAGGGGGTAATTGTCTGGGATCTTCTCCTAGCCCCCTTTCGGTTTGGAATTTTACATCTACCCTCCGGAAGGAGGCAAACAAAGAAAAGGTAGGAGCAAAATCGGTTGTGAAGTGAGGTGGGGCAGTTGTGGGCACAGTGCCATCATTCAATGGCAAAGTGGATATAGACTACCCCCCACCCCAACTCTCATGTCAGATCATGCCCTCATGGACCTCTTCCAGGCTCCTCTTATTTTATCTCCATTCCTGAAGAAGGTGGGGCTTTACAAGCCCAAATATCACCAACAGAAGATGTCAACCATTCTGTGAATGTCCCACCTTCCCCCTCCCCAAAACCCTTTCAACATTATCCAGCTCACCTCCTGTTCTCTCCCAATAACACTCTTCCATCACCCCCTTCCCTCCCTCCTTCCATCCTCAGGGTCTGGCCTGCTTCCTTTCACCTTGAGTCCCATTGTTAACTTCTTCCACCCACCACCTCCACCATGTATCTGCTGCCCTTGTCCTTCAGGATGGTACAGGTTGTGGGTTTGTGAGTTCAGGGGGCCTTGGTAAGTTGCTGTCGCGCATCTTGTAGATAGTACCCATTGATGCTACTGAATGCTGCTGGTGGACAGACTGGTTGTTTGTGGATGTGGTGCCAATCAAACGGGCTGCTATGTATGATGTCAAGCTTCTTGAGTGTTATTGGACCTGCACCCATCCAGGCAAGTAGGAAGTATTCCATCTCCCCCAACACTTGGGCTCCGTTCAGTTGGACCAAACCGATCCTGAATCCCAGGGAAGCCAGTCTCCTCAGACTGGATCCAGAATGAATGGACCCAGAGGCTGCCAGGAGGGTGAGGTATAATGAAGGTCACATGGATTGAGTAGATATGTCGCAGGTACGCCCATTTCCAATGGGAAAACCCTCCAAGGATCCATGAGCAACTCGAACAATAGCTCAGTCCGTCCTTAACCAGAGCTTGATGCTTCTCTTTTGTGCTTTGAATGACAAATAAAGGAATGAAACGCTGTAAACATTTACCTGCCCTCCGTCTCGCTCCTTGACCTTTTGTGGCGAAGTGTTCTGAGTGCACCTCTCAGTTTTGCGTCAAGAGTTTTGTCTGAATTCCTGAATCCACAGTACAGAGGCACATTGGACAATTCAGTGTCGGGAAGATAGTCGGGAATTGGCAATGTTTGGGAAAATAGTCAGGGGAAGACGGATATTGGAATGGCTAGCCCCACTCCCCCCAACTCCCTTCCCCACACACACATTCAGAGAGAGTGCAACAGTGGATTACCAGACTGATTCCTGGGATGGCAGGACTGATGTCTGAAGGGAGACTGGATCAGGTAGGATTACATTAGTTGATTTTAAAAGATTGAGGGAAGAGGATCTTATAGAAACTGATAAAATTCCAAAAAAATAAACACAGGAGCAATGATCTTGATGACGAAGTAATCCAGAACCATGGGGTCACAGTCAGAAAATACATAGTAGACAAATTCGGACTGAGATAAGGAGAAATGGCTTCGCGCAGAGAGTGGAGAGCTTTTTGGAATTCTCTGCCACAGAAAACAGCTGAGTCCAGAACATTGAATGTTTGAAGATGGACTTGTATATAGTTTCTGGGGATAAAGTGATCAAAGGGTGTGGGGGAGATAGCCTGAATGATAGGGGACTGTGTTGGATGATCAGCAATGATCATATTAAATGTGGAATGGCCTCCACCTGCCGCTATTTTCTATGTGTCTAGGATTTCTGTAAGGGTTTAAGGTGGACAGTAACACAATCCTAATCTGTCTTTGCACAGTCACAAGGAATTGTCCAATCAGAAAGAGGCTCTTCGGCCCATTGTGGCAGTACTGGCTCCTTGTGAAAGAAATGGTCTCATTGACCCGTCAACTTCCTCTCATTCAAATACATCTCTGAGCTCCCTTTGCAATGCTGCTATAAAACGGTTAAAGTGGCATTTGGCGCGCTTGGCTTCATTGCTCAGACCATTGAGTAAAGGAAATGGTAAGTCATGTTGAGGTTGTACAGGACATGGGTGAGTACATTTCAGGACCAGTATGTCCAGTTCTAGTCACCCTCCTATAGGAAGGATATTATTCAACTAGAGAGGGCGCATAAAGAATTTACAGCAATTTTACCAGGACTGGATGGTTTGAGCTATAAGGAGAGGCTGGATGGCTGGAAGTTTTACCTTTGGAGCACAAGATATTGAGGGGTGACCTTATAGAGGTTGTAAATTCACAAGGGGCATGCATAAATTAAAGAGCAAAGAGCAAATGACTTTTCCCCGGGGAGTGCAAAACTTGAGGTCATGATTTGAAGGTGAGAGGAAAAAAATTTAAAAGGGACCTGAGGGGCAACATTTTCAGAAAAGAAGGTGGTCCATCACCGGTCAGTGCATGAGCTGGAGAAGTCAACAATTGTGGTTGATTAAAAGATCAAGGAGGAGAAAGAAAGAATAATTCTTGTCTCTGTCCACGCAACAGAAATTAAGAGTCTTCTGGCTGCCAGCTCTCCATCCTTTGACTGAAAGCTTTTCAGGTTTCCCATACTTTCAAAATATTGACTGGAGTTGACCCGAAGGTCATGGGCATGCAGCAAAGGGGAATGTTGGTCATGAGCAGTGGGGGGTTGTTGTTGTTTAAGGATATCTGATGACTGATACCTCTCCCTGTCCAATATTGCGTTCACCAGCGAAACACTAACTGAGGCCACTACTGAGAAAACCATTGACCAACGAGGCTGCAATATTGACCTCCATCCCTTTGTTGACCTCCCCTTCAATGAGTAATCCCTGGGCCTTATCTCTTGACAGTGCACAAGGGCACTTTACTGTCTGAAGTAGAATGGTGCGGTTCCAGTGGCTTGGTTATGAGTTAAAAGACCGAACGCCACTTTAACCCACATCACAATTGGCCAGCTCTGGACTTTCCATATTCTACGTCCCTTCAAGAGCAGGTTGGACCAGTTTTTGACTTAGTCAATGGCAGGTCGACAGAACATGGCGGTTACAAAACAGATGGAGCCCACTGAGTCTTTGCTAGACCTCCCAAAGTCAATGTGGACCCATCTGAAGGGCAAAGGGGAAAGGAATTTATCTGATGACATTTCTCCAGCCATTTTATGCAACTTTGTTCGGCCTACTCAGCGGGGAGGTAAAGATTTGATACCATCCATGGCTGGGTGGGTCTGCAGTCATAGATAGGCCAGATTGTGTAATGACAGCAGTTTTCCTTCCCTGTAGAGTGAGCCATTCAGACCATCGATGAAGGTTTCTCAGGTCCCTTTTAAGTTTCTCCCTTCTCAACTTAAACCGACGATCTCTCGTTTTGAAACCCCCCAATATGTGGAAAAGACCTTTGCTAATCATTTTATTTATGCCCCTCATGATTTTATACACCTCTTTCAGGTCACCCATCAGCCTCCTACACTGCAGGGAAAATAGTCCCAGCCTATTCAGCGTCTCCTAAGAACTCAAAACCACCAGTCCAGGAATGGTCTTGTAGATCTTTTCTGCACCCCTTTCTAAAGTAGTATACCGTTGCTATAGCTGGGTGACCAGAACTGCAGACCGTACTCCATGATAGGCCTCACCAACATCCTATACGTGATGTCGCAACTCATGGTATGAGCAATGATGGCAAGCAAGCCAAAGCCTTTTTAACCACAAAGACTGTCTGTGGAATCACTTTCAAGGAACAATGTACCTGAACCCCTTGACAGTTTCTGGATCAGCAAGACTGTTTATCTTAATTCCTTCATGGAATGTGGATGTCGTTGCCTGGACCAGCATTTATTCCCCGTCTCCAGTGTGGGACTATGGGTGAATCTAGCTCCACCTCAATTCCAGGATGCACCCAGTCTGTTTGAATGGCCTGCTTCCGCAATGTGTAGACCACTTTGGAGCCTGAGGTGATGGGGTTGAGCAAGTTGTCGGGATTTAAAATGTGTTCGCACAGGGCGCAACTTAGGAAAAGGCCATTGCATTTTTGAAAGGACAAGTTGACTTTTTTAAGGCAGGGAAAGAGAGGTGGGGTGGGTCTCTGGAGAGTAAGGGTCGAGGAAGTGGCACATTGTTGCGCAATTAGAGAAAAGAGTCATCGCCGATCCTTTGGGCCCAATGGCTGTTTCTGCTATTCTGCTCACAATGGGATGGGATGAAAAATCTCAGGCATGTCTATCAACTTGGTTTCTCCACCCAAAGTGCATTCATGCCTCGCAGTCATATTCCCAAGGTAGGAACAGGAAGGATGTTCTAACTGATTTCGTGCTTCAACCCAGCGAACAGGGGTGGTAGCTGTGCTGTAAAACCAGTTTTCCATTGATTTAAATTCTTTCATGGGATGTGGGTATTTTTAAAATACCAACCTGGTCAGGCATTGACAAACACACTTTGAGCACAGATGGGACTTGAACTCATGAGCTCCTGGTCCAGCAGTAGTAATGACACTGCTACTTCACCACAAGGTCACCAGCTAGCAAGCTGAACAGCCTCTGGTGGGGAACCCTCCTTCCCAGATTCCTACTAAAACCACATATATTGTGGCTCGGCTCTCTGCCGGTTTTGGGATTTGATCATTGAACACAGCAACAGGACCTTCGATCCACCATGTCTGTGCCGTCTGTAATGCAGGTTTAAGTTGAACCTATCTGCCTGCACATGGTCCATTTCCCTTTATTCCCTGCCTGTTCGTGTGCATCTCTTAATGCCTCTTCAATGTTGGTATCAAATCTGCTTCTACCACCAGCCCAGGCACCTCCTACCCTCTGTGTAAAACATATCCTCGCACATTTCCTTTAAACTTTCCTCCTCACATCTTAAAATTACAACCCCAAGTATTAACATTTAACCCCCGGGAAAGACAGACTGACTCCCCACTCGATCCATTCCACTCATAATTTTATTTACTGCTATCAGGTCGCCCCTCAACATCCGTCACTACAGTAAAAACAATCCAACTTTATCCAACCTCTCCTTATAATTAATATACTCCAATCTAGGCAACATATTCGTGAACCTCTTCGGCACCCTCTCCAAAGCCTCCACATGTTTCCTATGGTGCGGCAAACAGAAGTGCACACAAATGTGGTTTGATCAACATCATAGGCACTTGCAACCTGACTTGCAAACTTTTATAATCAATGCCTCAATCAATGAAGGCATGCATGCCGTATGCCCTCTTTACCACCTTATCCACTTGTGTTGGCCCTTTCAGGGAGCTAAGGACTTGGACCCAAAGATCCCTCTGTATATCAGCACACCGAAGTGTCTTGCCCTTTACTGGATGCTTTCCTGTTACATTTGACCTCCCAAAATGCATCGCATCACACTTTCCCATGTCAAGCTCCTTTGGCCACTTCTTTGCCCAACTTTCTGACTGGTCTATATCCTTGAACCTGGAACATTTGCTCCAGAGGCAGGGACAATACCATGGCATCACAAGAACCCCTGGACCAGTTTTTCCTGCCTGTCTCCTGAAGGTGGCAATAGAAAGCAAAGTGGTGGGATTGCAGGGTTTATGTCAGGGTCTCACAACTGGCTCCCAAGGCTCTGTGTTGGGGAGGGTGGTGCTGGCCTCTGTGCCATCGTCAGGGATGTGGATCATTGTGCTTTGTGGGAGGAAGGCTCAAGATTCTGGGCTAGTGGGTGTAGGTTCTGGGGGCAGAGTGGGGGTCACTCAGACTAAAGTGAACTAGGGCCCCAGTGGTGAGCCATCTTCTTGAACTGCTACAGTCCGCCTGGGTTACACAGGCGTCTCTTCGTGAATGAGATGGGAATGATAAAGCTAGTCTCCATCATGGCGACTATCACACCATCATCGATGGTCTGAATGGCTCACTCACACCTTTCTGGAAGGAAATCTGCTGCAATTACCTGGTCTCGCCTACACGTGACTCCAGACCCACGCAGCGATGGAGACGGTGTTGAATCTTTATCTCCTTGCTGAGTAGGCCAAGCAAGGTTGTGTCAGAGCCACTGGAGAAATATCATCCAATAAGTTCATTTATGTTTCCCTTCAGAC